ATTTTGTGCAAATACAATTCTAGCCGCAGTTATTACATGAATAATCAAATATACATTTTCCTTACTATGTTTCCCTGGTAAGGTAGCCAACAAAAACAATTCAGGTTTTAAGTCAATATGTTGCTGCGTCATCTTCTCCAACCGCATTCAAATTCTTGCCCAATATTTTTTCACTTTTGTACAATTATAATGAACAACTCCACCTTTTGGAAGAGATTTATTGTTATATTTACAAGGCTTATAAGCTGCTCTAATCAGATCCAACCCGAGCAGCATACAATTCCTTATCTTTAAGTTACAATAATAATGTGCAGAATGGTGCAGTCTGTTACACCCTCCTTTACTATAATCAGTATCTCAAGGAAAAAACACAGTCAGGCAAACTCTTAACAGCCAGCTCTTGCCAAATGTGCGGTTTCATGCGGAGGGGGCAGTGATAGAGAAGACGCGTCGCACTGCTTGAGCGAGGGGACGTAGAGGGCCTGCCCCTCTTCACCTGATGGGGCAGACAGGCATTATTGGAAGAAGGCATCCGGCATATGTCCATGTCCTAAACCAAGAAGGGCTCTAAAGCTGCATTGAATTGCATCCAGAAGCCAACTGGTCACCAGTGCAGCTCCCACAGCGGTGGTGGGCCCAGCAAGAAGCGGCTGAAACTACTCAGGCTGCTGCATTTGGATCAGAAGAGTTTCTGGATGCTCTTCAAGGTCAGCCCCACACAAAGCGCATTGCAATCATTCTCTCCACCCGAGACTGAGTGATTAAGCAAAGCCTCCTGTTCCTGGGTGGGGGGTGGGGTGGGGTGTTATAACTGAAAATTTCCTCCATGGTGATCAACCACCGGAAGTGTCTCTGAATCAGGGTTATTTAAAGGCCACCAAAACCCAAACGACCCTGGGAGGTAGGCTAGCTTAATAAAGGGCAGCTTTGGACCAAGGAGATTTCTAACTAAATAGGGACTTGAGCTAATCTCCTTTGGAAGAGCCGTCTCCTTCTCCAGTGCATCTGACGGGCACTGTAGCTGCCCACCGGACACGGCAAGGACTGGGGAGCAGCCATCATGCCGGGCTCTGCTTGGAGCAGTTGGTGTGAGGAGCGTGAGTGTGCTGTCGGTTAGTACGGCGAACCCTCCTCTGAACTGCTACGGTTTGACTTTTCTTCCAGATTACGATCCTGACTAGCCAGCCCAGCAGAAAAATAGCCAGCCAATTGGATGTTGGATTGCAGGGTGTTGACCTGGTTAGCCTCCACCAACTGCAGGTGGTTGAGGTTTCTCAGCAGGCAGTCCAGGAACCCTCAGGGGCACAGTGGGGCGGAGAAGTGCCCAGCAGCAGTGGAGGTGAGTACGGCAGCCTGACGGTTACACCTAGAAATGGGAAAACCTGACACCGGCTACACCTGAGTCTGATGAGTCTGCAAAATCTCTCCAGATATGGAACCTGAGCCTCGGAACCCAGGATAATATCAGCTGTTCTTCATCCGCCCCTGAAATCCCAAAACGAAAAGCAGCCTGGCATTAAATTGGCTCCCCTCACTGCCAGAGCAAGTAGGGGAGGGGGGGGACACCCTGTTCGCTTGTCCACCGTTTATTTCATTTTGTAACAACCTGTCAATGCAGAACCTGAAGCCGGCATGCCACAATTATTAGTGCATTTAGCTGATCTAATAAAGGTACCTGCTCAACTCTTAATTTTGGAATGGATTCAGATTTTTTTCCCCATTTTTAAAAGAGTGAATCTGTAAAAATGGACTAAGGTGCAGATTGTTGCCATCAACTGGATAGCAGTAGATTGTTACCAGCAGTAGATTGTTTTCTTCCAGCTTCATTCAGTGTGAACACCATTACTCCAAGATCTCGTTAGTCCCTGCTAGCTCTGATCCCATTAATCTGTATGAAGAATCAGAATTTTTGGCACCAGTGTGTGCAGCTGTTGCTCCCTTCAAGCACCTGTGAATCCAAAGCACCCTTTGCCCCTATATTACATGTGAATCGATCTATGGCTCACCAACTCTGATATCCTGACGACCACTTGAGAAAGAGGCCACCCTTCATTCACTGTGCTGCTGCCCACCATGCAGCCATACCGGCTGCCCTCTTTTCTCCCCTGCGGCTGCTGAGACGGGCTCTAAATGCAAGCAGGCTGCCGTGTATCCATGTTTTGGTCACGTGGCCACAAGGTCCCTCCAACAGCTGTAACCTCAAGGACCAGCTGGAATTACCATTTGTTCAGTGCTGTCCTAAGACTTGGTTCTTGGTTCTGTTAATGGACCCCAAAGTAGCATTTGCCTATCCCAGGCATTTTTGAGGTGCATATTCTCTGTATCCCAATTTTCTCTGCGTTTGGAAAGGATAAGGAAAGGGTAGGGTAGGGAATTGGGAAGAGTAGCTTAACACGTTGCACTGGAACTTCTTATACTAGGCAGAATCCTAATGCCTCACCTATCCCCTTAGGAAAGCATGGCTCTTGAAACAGTTATCAAAAGGAATTTTTACTGAGAGAAAGTGATTGCAGAGAAGTCAGACGGAATCTGAATCCTAACCCTAACCCGTCCACCGATAGCCAATACAATTCTGCATAGGTGTTTTGCCAGCTCTGAGGCATTAGCTTGATAGCATCCCCAGGCTAGTGGGGGATTCCGGATTCCATTCCAACCAGTACGGTTGAAACTGCCTCGGTGTTACCCACATGGATGCGCGCAGATGCATCATACTTGCCTGCGACGCTTCAGCTGCTCGGTGGAGCGTCGCACAGGCACCGTATATGCCATGCGTGTGCACAGAAGCACCAAAGGCTTAAAGGACAGGTAAGGAGCTCGGGCAGGCGGGTGGGCCCTCTGGAGGCTCTGGTACATCCATACCGGGGCGTACCGCCTGCAACCCACCACTGCCCCAGGCACAGCGACCTTGGTGTTAGGCTGGAACCCGCTGGGAGGAAGCCCATCTGTCTTCAGGACAGCCCCCCTCCCTGAAACCCATGCGGTTACAGCAAAAGCATGCAGAGAATGGAGCAGCCCCCATAGCCCCCTCCCCACTTCTCCATAGGGATGGCAGCCTCCCAGCAGGGGGCCTAGCAATAGGATAGGACAGAATAGGAAATACGATAGGAGACACAATAAAATAAAACAACATACAGTAGAGTAAAATAACAGAAGAGAATAGAGAACATAAAATAATTGAAAATATAAAATAATTGAAAATAGAAGAAAATAGAAAATAAATAGAAACAGAAAACAGAATAGAATACTTTATTGGCCAAGTGTGATTCAACACGCAAGGAATTTGTCTCCCGGTCATAAGCTCTCAGTATACATACATACCAACAATAAATAAATAATAAAATCAGTGTGCATACGAACATATAACCAACATGTACATATAAACAAGGTGATAAGATACCAATAGGAGAAGGGAACATGCAAGGTGGAAAGGACATTAGCAGTACAGCCCTACTCCGTGGGTAAATATCCTCAGGAATAAGAGAGAGAGCCGTGGGAACAGAGGGTTCAGCAAAGTGATGGCACAAGAGAGAGAAAAATGCCTTTGTGTCTAGTTGTTTTGGCATGCAGTGCCCTATAGCGCCATCCAGAGGGGAGGAGTTGAAACAGTTTGTGAGGGGTCTGTAGATATTTTCTGAGCCCCCCTTCAGACGGGTGCAGGTCCTCAATGGAAGGCAGGCTGGTTGCTATTGTTTTTTCTGCAGTCCTAACTATCCGTTGAAATCTGTGTCTGTCCTATTTGCTTCCTGTGCCAAACCAGTCACTGACGTACAAATGACAGGCTCAAGAATTCCCTTGTAGAACAGTATCAGCAAATCCTTGGGCTCTCTGAGCTTCCTGAGCTGGTGCAGGGAGAGCATTCTTTGTAGTGCCCTTTTGATGATGATGATGATGAGTCTCTTGAGAGTGGGCGGCATACAAACCCAATAAATGATGATGAATGATGATGTCCTATTTGATCTCCTCCTCGTCTCTTGCAGAGGGCACCACCACAATCCTGAGCACAGAGGTTGATCTGCAGGCTGTGGAGAACGATGTGGTGGCCTTAGAGGACTTTTTCAAATCCTGGCTGCACGACCATGCTCCGGATCAAGAGCACCTTCATCTCCTCCTGCCTGCCAGGACCACCAGCCGCTCTGAGGCACCAAGCAGCGATGCAGGTAACCTACCCTTGCCCGCAGGTGCCCACATTGGTGCCATTTTCTTGGCAAACAAATTACAATAAACAAAAGTAGTAAATCGTAGAAGGAACCACTGTCCAGGGCAATAGCCCCACCGTGTGTTCTTGCCGGCCAGGGACTGAGCGTCACATGTCCCTGGCTCTCAGGATATCCTGCCCTCCTGAGCCAGTGCAACGTTTGCCAGGCAGAAGTTAGGAAAGGAATCTGCAAGGGCCTCCGAGGGGCTCTCTGCCCCCCAGATTGGACTGTCCCCCAGGAAGGAGGGGCCCAGGGAGAAATAGGGCCACGTCCCAGATAAGGCTTTGCATGTGGCTATTCCCTTCCCTTCAGGCTCTTCATCTAAGTCCCCCTAGACCTCACATCCATGTTACACCTTCCGTGTTCCGTGCCTTGGGGGGGGGGGGGGCTATTCTCCCTTTTTCCCTCTTTCATTTTACTTTCCTGTCCAAATAAGGTTTGTTCCATTCTTGAAAAAGTGGGGGAAATGCTCTGACTACAACAGCAGGAAAGATGCAAAGAATACAAGTCTCCTTTATTCAGTGGCAGCTGTTCTTTTTCAATTCATTTTCTTTCTTTTAATTATACGTTTAATTTATAAATAATTCATCATCTCTCTGGAGCGGGGTCGTTCTGCAAGGCTGAAAATCGGAGGGCAAAAAGATATCAAAGGAAGGGCTTCTTCCCATCTCTGGAATCTGCTCAGCCACCAACTGAAGCAGTCTGAAGTGGGGCTGAGGGATCCGTCAGGAAAGGCCCTTTGGATTGAAGGGTGGCACCCGGCTAGTCCTGCCTGCTCCCACCGCAGCTTCTGCTGGCAATGGGGACGATCTCTGGCAGCACAACAGGCGCTCTGCCAGCAGGCTGATTCCCCCCTCCCCCCACATACACCCCTCCCCCCCCCATCAGCTGGGCAGAGAAAACCCCGGGCCGAGGGTCCTTAACCTGCGGCTCCCTGTCGGATGATCCCACCACTAGGTGGCCTCGGCCTCCCCCCCATCCTCGCTTGCCCTGAGACGAGAAGGGCAACTGCGGCAGATGGAGACTCGTTCCGTACTCCAGAGCGGGACCGAAGCATCCCTCCGCTTGCCCTTTTTCCTGCTCTTGTTGGTGCTGGGCGCACCTCGGCCGCTGGGGGAGAGGCGCCACTTTCTCCGCCCCAAGACACCGGCTGGGCCGCGCCTCCCCAGAGTCCTTTGGCTGCCTGCAGGGCTGCTGGCTGCTCTTTCACTTAAACTTAGCGCTTGCACAATGGGGGGGGGCGGCCTCTCCTCCTCCTCCTGGAGCCCCTTACAAGGCGGGGCATCGGCTGCAGCCAGTGTCTCGGCAGGGAAAAAAAGTCACGCCTCTCCCAACAAGGGCCGGAGAAAGAGGCAAGCAGGGGGGGAGCTTCGCTTCCGCTCAGGAACGCAGAACGAGCCTCCATCTGCCCCACTCGCCCTTCTCTTCTCAGGGCAGGCGGGGGTGGGGGGGGCAGCT